GGGCTGACCTGGTCTGCAAGCAGCCTCCGAGAGGATGGGCACCATGTTCATGTGAGAGGATACTAACTGCAGGAAGGAGGTCATCTCCATCTTGTCATGGGTGAACTTTCTCGGGTCTTCAGTTTGCAACCAGCTGAGTCTTCTCTAAGGGAGACTAAAGGAACCTCAAATTATAGACAACTCCAAGGAAACACAGCCCCTAACATTAGTATTACCACATCTGAAGCATAGAACAAGCCAGCCCTGAGCCATAAGAATGAGAAGCAGATGTCCTGCTCCACAAAAGAGGGTTTCCTGCATCAGAAAGTCTTCCCAAATGCCACCTCTGTCCTCAGGAGTGCGGGGAGGCTTAGAGCTGGCATATTCTAAGCCTGTCATCCTGTGAATTTGAGTGTGGGGTCAACCCTAGGTGAAAGGGAAGAGAAATATCCTGGAGATCAGCTCCCAGACAAGTGGTCAAAGAAATCAGACACAAGTCCAACCACCAACTTTTGACTAGAACCACTGTAGGTGAGCATTGTTGAAGGATGGTACATGAGCAAGTGAACCTGAAGCCAGCCAGCTTGTATGCTCACCAAAGAAACTTTTGGCTTTGGTGCCTTTTTTTTTATAGCCATCCACTAATTGTTCAATTAATTATGTGTCAAAAGCTCTAGAAAAAGCCCAGTGAATTGGTTCTTCTGGAAAACTCATTGAATGATTGGAATCTCAAATTTCCCATCACCTTAGCCACCACATAAGTCTTTGAGTTCACATTTGCTTCTTTGTGCTCCTGTGTTTTAAATGAATCTGAATCTGAACAGACCCACATAGTGGTTCTCATAGCTCCCTGGGGCCATTAGAAATTGCAAAGCTCCCATTCTATTCCCAAACCTGGAAAAATTCTAAACAATATACAATTTCCTTTAGAGAAAACAAGGCGAAATTAGGGAGCAGTTGAGGGCAATGGTCCTCAATCCTGGCTGCGCACTAGAATCCTGGGGAGAGCAGCTACTTTACAGCAATATTGGCTAATCCTGCTAATTAACACCCATTCACACTAATTCAGTGGTTGGCAACACCTAAGGTACATCAGACTCTCCTAAAGAGTTTTTAAAAACACTGATTCTGGGCCCCACTCCCCTCTGACCAGTCAAATCAGAGCATCTGGGAGATGGGGTTGGGCATAGGTAATTTTTTAAAGCTTCTTGATTATTTACTATATAGCACAGAGAACTATACTCACCACCTTGTAAGAATCTAAACAAAAAATAATCTGAAAAATATACACATATAAAATAGAATCATTCTGCCGGACACCTGAAACTAACACAGTATTGTAAATCAATTACACTTCAATTAAAAAAAAAGCAGCTCCTTAATTGATCCTAATGATCAGCCTGGTTTAAGAATGACTGCCCTAGTCCAGGGCTTCTCATACTTCGGTGAGCATCAGAGTCTCCTAAAAAGTTCATTAAATCAAAATTTCAGGCACTTCACTGGTGGTCCAGTGATTAAGAATCCACCTTCCAATGCAGATCCCTGGTGGGAAAACTGAGATCCCACAAGCTGCCAGGCAAGTAAGCCTACGCACGGCAACTAAAGAACCCCACAAGTTGCAACAAAGACCCAGCACAGCCAAATAAATCAATTATTTAATAAAGCAGATAACAGAGATCAAAAGTAGATCCATGGTTCCCGAGGAGGAGCGGAGATGGGAGGATTGGAGAATGACTGCTAACAGTTTCTTTGGGGGCCAATGAGAATGTTCTAAGATTGATTGTGGTGATGGGTGTACAACCCTGTGAATATATTTAAAGTCATTGGATTGTACGCATTAAGTGGTAAATTCTATGTATGTGAATTATATCTCAATAAAGCTTCAAGGGCTTCCCCAAGGACTAAGTGGTAAAGAATCCACCTGCCAATGCAGGATCCCTGCATTGGTCGGGAAGCTCCCCTGGAGAAGGAAAAGGCAGCTCACTCCAGTATTCTTGCCTGAAAAGTCCCATGGACAGAGGAGACTGGTGGGCTACAGTCCATGGGGTCACAAAAGAGTGGCCCAAACTGAGCAAAGGAGCACACACACAGAGTTGTTAAAATACACTCATATAGGTTTCTGCCCACCCCCAGAGATTCTGATGCTGTGGGCGTGAAGTGGAGAAATTTGAGGTGATATTTATTCTGTGAGGTCATAGACCAAACGGCTCTAGGCCACAGAAAGGCAATGGTGTTTAAGCTTTCTAAAATTTTATGAGCACAATAATGGCTTATGAATGGTTAATGACTATATGTAGGTCCCCACATGAGTATCCCCTGGAGCAGTGTGGCCTTTGCATGTTTCTCTTGTGGATCACTTCACTCTTATGTGCCTGTCCTAGAACAAAGGCTCTTTATTCTGCTACTCTGGGAAGATCAGGTGACACTGATGCTTCCAGGGTTGTGTCATAGAAATGAGAGCAGGGATTGCACAGGGAAAACATCTATGAACCCAGAGAAAACTCAGAGGATGAGGACCATGAAGCCAGGAGATATCCCTCAGTTCAACCAAGCAGTGAATGAGGCCTAGGGAGACAAAGAGGGTATAATTTATTGTGCTGTTTATGATCCAATTAAGGGGAAATGATACACGGCTATATATGAAAATCTAGATATACCAAATAAAGGGCAAAGCAAGACTTTCCACTTACTGTACAAAACAATTCACCCACAGAGGTCCTTCAGAAAGTTGAACCTTCTCAAGACATTTACAATGATGTACAGTGTTTCATGGGGCTTCCCAGGTAGCTCAGTGGTAAAGAATACACCTGCCAACGCAGGAGATGCAGTTTCAATCTCTGGGTCCAGAAGATCCCCTGGTGAAGGAAATGGTAACCCACTCCAGTATTCTTACCTGGGAAATCCCATGCACAGAGGAACCTGGTGGACTACAGTCCATGGGGTCCCAAAAGAGTTGGGCATGACTTAATGACTAAACAACAACAATGTTTTATGTTAATCTTCCCACAGTTTTCTAGCAAAGCCAACTCAAACAGATACAGGATAAACAAACTCAAACTATGAAGAACAGGATTCTCAAGAAACAGGCAGTAAGGATGGAAAACTTGAAATGAGCGCCTCCTATAGGAATGCGAATGCCACCCAGGAGTTTATCCAAAAAACCTGCTCTGGCACAGTGCCAAGGCGGATGCCCTAGGCTCTGCCAACAACTGCCTCCAAGACTCCAGCACCTCTCCCCCTGCAGTCGGGCCCTAAGCACACTTGATTGGTACTGACCCCTGACTCCGACTCCAGTGTGACAAAAACCTCAACATCATTCTCAGGCACTGTTTGCCAGGCAGCTGCCAGAGGGGCAGTCGCTGCTGTCACACTAGAAGTCCAGGGGAACAAAGGGGCAACTTTTTTTTTTTTAAGTTTAAATTTTGAAAAAACAAACTTGGTCACATTTTGAGATGTAGCACCTGAAAGACATGGGCTGAAATTAATAACAGCACAGTAAAGATGTTCAACATATCCAAACTTCATCATCTGTTAAAACATAACCAAAATGGTGGTGAGGTGGTTAATGTTGTAGAGAGGACAATGAGCATAAACCACATAATAAACCACACATTCAGGTGCCTGGTATATTAGAAACATAAATAATAAGAGCAGCCAATATTCATTATGTCCATTAATTACCAGATACTCTTCTAAGATTTATATATATATTATATATAATGTATATATATAATATATATATACACAAATGCATTTATTACTCACAGTCCTGTATTACAGAGATTAAGATACTTTTCTTGCAAAGCACAGACAGCAAATATTTGGGGCCTCATAGTCCCACACAGTCCCTATCCTGACCACTCAGATCTGCTGTTGTAAGTCAAAAGCATGGGCATATCTGTGTTTCAGTAAAACTTTATTTATAAAAACAAAAGGTGATCCAGGTTTGGCCCATGGGCTGTAGTTTACCAACCCCTGCTTTGTGAATTGGGGACTATTATTATCTCCATTCCACAGAGGAGAAAACAGAGGCACAAAGGGATCAACTGACAGCCCAAGGGTCCATGTGCAGTCTGATTATAAACTCGCCAGAATTGATGCTTCTGAACTGTGGTGTTGGAGAAGACTCTTGAGAGTCCCTTGGACTGCAAGGAGATCCAACCAGTCCATCCTAAAGGAAGTAAGTCCTGAATATTCATTGGAAGGACCGATGCTGAAGCTGAAACTCCAATACTTTGGCCACCTGATGCAAAGAACTGACTCACTAGAAAAGACCCTGATGCTGGGAAAGATTAAGGGCAGGAGAAGGGGATGACAGAGGATAAGATGGTTGGATGGCATCACCAACTCAATGGACATGAGTTTGAGTAAACTCCAGGAGCTGGTAAAGGACAGGGAGGACTGGCGTGCTGCAGTCCATGGGTTCACAAAGAGTCGGACATGACTGAGCGACTGAACTGAACTGAGAATCAACAATGAGCTCATAGCAATTACTGGCTAGCACTATCTTTTTTTTTTTTTTTTTCTGGCTCTGCCAAGAGAGAGACAAGATCTTAGTTCCCTGAGCAGGGATCAAATCCAACCCCCCTGCACTGGGAGCTTGAAATCTTAACCACTGGATCACCAGGGAAGTCCCTCACCATCCTTACTATATGCCTCACACCCAGTCCAGGTCCAGATTTTCCTAATTCCAAGGGGCTAGCCAGCCAACCAGTCACCAATACCCTCAGAGTTGTCTCAGAGGTTGAAGACTCAACTCTGATCCCCTCCCTCCACTTCCTGCTGTGATATCCTTGGTTGAACTTCTCCCTGGACCCTCAATGCCCTTATTCTCTCCATTCCATCCAGATGGATTTGACTTTTAACTTTATGCACTTTTTCCCCAGGCTGTTTGGGAGCCTGGATCATGTATATCACAAGTGCTCAATTCATATGTGTTGAATGTGTGTGTGAACCTGTTTCCAGTGGGTGTCCAGGCCGTGACAGCCAGGGACTGAGGGCAGAGAAGGAAGAGGACTCACCAGTCCATGGCAGGCGCTGAGGGCTGCAGTGCCGACCCCGGTGCCCTGCTGCAGAACTGTGCCCCTGAGATGGCAGGGGGGCCCCGAGGAAGCCTCCATCTTCACATGGGAGAGGTTCCCGCATCTCCTCTCCACGATGTAGCTTTTGGAAAGTAATCCCTGATTGACCGTCAAGTTAAAGAACAAGTCCTTCTCCTCGTGTGAAATTCTATAGTACACCCGGTCCTCTAGGCCATCCAGATCTCTCTTTCTCCTGCTGCTGGAGGCAGAATGGTGCAAGACATAAGAGAGAAAATGCCCGCTCGCATCGACTCGGACAGGAGCCACCACGTGGTATTCCGGCAGGGCCTTGATAAAATGCTCTGGGGAAGAAAAAAGGAAACACAGAATAAGACTAAGAGATCCTTCCGACATGTACACACTGCTATCTTTAAAATGGATAACCAGCAAGGTCCGACTGTGTATCACTGGGAACTCACCTCAGTGTTATGTGGCAGCCTGGAAGGGAGAGGTGTTTGGGGAAGAATGGATACACGTATATGTATGACTGAGTCCCCTTACTGTCCACCTGAAACTATCATAACACTGTTAATCGACCTCCTCCAATATAAAATAAAAAGTTGGGAGAAAAAAAAAGACTAAGAGATTCCACTGAATCTATGGTTAAGACAAATATACTCCTGTTTGAACTTGGATTTTAGCTTGCTGATTTCAAAATCCTACTGTTGACCTGAAGTTTAGAGATCGTTTCCATGGTATGAACTCCATCCACATCAAGTTCCCTAAACAACTCAAATCGACCCAGGGCTCTCTCACAGATGACAGGCGACTGTCTAAGCTTACATCAAAACATAGCTCTGGATGTCAGTTGTTTCACCTGAGACAGACTAAGACGAGAATTAATGCATGAGGAATATGGTTAGGAAAGTGGCGAGATCAGTATGGCCAACAGGAACATTTTAGGTTTAGAGTTCATTCATACAAATCACAGAACTTCACCGTTTATCATAAGGAATGTAAATGCCTCTAAAATTTTCAGTTAAGTCATGTTGAAGGAAAAATGCAAAAGCACAGTACATCCACCAAGCACACCCTGAAAAACCTTGCATAGTTACAGCATAAGTGTTCTGTAATGTAGCAATGGGTACATAAAAGAACTTGAATGTCTCTTTTTTATTTTTATAAAATATACAAAATAAAATGATAGGCGAACATATTAGATTCAGAGGCATGGGGTCAAAATATAAAAATTTCCACTTTTTTCTTGGAGCACAGTTGCTTTCCAATGCTGTGTTAATTTCTGCTCTACAGGAAAGTGAATCAGCTGTATGCATAGATATGATGTGGTACTTGTACATACAATGGAATATTACTCAGCCATAAGAAGGAATGAAACTGTGCCATTTGCAGAGATGTGGATGGATCTAAAGAAGTAAATCAAAAACAGAAAAATAAATAGTGTTTATTAACACATATATGTGGAAGCTAGAAAACTGCCACTTTAAAAATACAAGTCATGAACACTTCTTCCTTTCTTCCACACATCAGAATGAACACATCTTTTGAGTTCCTTAGGTTGAAATCCCTACCACTGCCTCTTCACTTTCCTATCTGATAAAAACAAGAAATCTATTTTATCTAGTGGAGAGTAGGCAGCAGGTTCCACATTACAGACTACCTACTAAAGCAAGCCATTAACCACTTAAGCTGATAAACTAATCTTTTGCTTCAGGTCAAAAAAGGTGTGGGGGGGGGGG